TAGTCTCCGCTCTGAACAATAGCGACCGTGGGTCCTTTATTGTCGCACTTGGAGTGAAACGTTTTCGCTGAAAATCCATCTTGAGAAGCACGGAACAGCAAACGAAGGCGCCGTCGCCTCTGCTGTGTATCTTGGGGGCAGCCACCTTAACAACAAATTTCGGTGTTCGTCTTCTGTTGTAATTTCTGAGTTAAACTCCAACGCATCCATTATTCCTTTTATCTGATAAAACTCAGCTTCATTCTGTTGTTCTCTGAAAGCTGTTTCTCCCTCCGGCATAGAAAATTTCTTGGCGCGCGAAGATAATTGAGTATGTGATGAAAGAGAGTCCCATCTCGGTCGATAAAGAAGGCACAGTCTTCACCAGGTTTCGTGCAAAAATTCCTTGAAAACATGGCTGCCAGCATTGAGTCTGGTTCTTTCGTCAGCATCTGAAGAGTGGTGTCGAAGTAACGACCGCCTACGTTTTAATCTAACCCTTTTTGTTTTAAACATCATATTTACTTCCTTTGATATCCCCTCGATCTGGTAGAATTCGGCTTCCTCCAGCAGTTTACTGAGAGCTGTTGCTCCTTCAGGTAAAATCAACTTCCGCCCAGTGCGAAGATGATCGAGGATAGACCGGAAGTGAGTTCCATCTCAATCGATGAAGAAAGCGCCGTCTTCACAACGTATAAACTTCGAAAAGATTGCGGCCAACTCGGAGTCTGGATCCCTTTCTAGTGTTTGACGACTTGTTGTGGAGTACTGACCGCCGATATTAAGTTTTATGAGCGGAGAAATAGGACTTGGGTCTTTCTCACCAATTGCTTCATCGTTCATGTTCAACGCCATCTTGGATTTAACGGTGTGGAGAGGTTCAAAGAGAAAGATAGGTCAGGGTGGGGGTCGGGAACCGTTTGGATGAAAAGTGTGTCTTTCATCCTTCCATCGCGGAAAATTGAAAGGGTTAAAAACTCCGAATCTTGAGGTCTGGTTACAGGCCCTGGCAACAGATACAATGGTCTGTCCTTGGATGAAACTCTGAGTTAGGAGCCCAGTAATGGGCTCCTGACTGGGTATAGTAACCCCCCACATAAGAACGTTTTTATTTTTTAATTGGCCACACCACTAATTTAGACATTTTTTTCTATCCATGCTCATGTATTGATCCGAAGGCCTATTATAAATTGGGTTTCGTCTATACCTGTCACATCTAATAGCCAACGAGTAGGCCCTCATTATTTGCGCTGCGGGACGAGTGTTTCTCCGCCCGCGGCCGCGGGAAGATCTCAGTCAATTCGTGACTGCCGGGGGTCTGGCACTAATGATAAGGTGCCAGGCCATTTGCAGACCTCGCCGGCTAGCGTTACTTAAGGAAACTTATACGGAGGCGAAGACACACTCGTATTGAAGTGTCACTACTAAATTCTAATACAAGTTTGTCAGTTCGCGCTTTGATCATTTGCAATCCGTTCCATTTGCTTTTTGCACTTTTGTTGTTTTAGTTTAGATAAACAGTCTGCATGACCTACAAGATTAAGGCCTAGTTTATACGTCGCGCTACAAACGAATTTAATTTAAGGTTCCTCAGCCAATTAAATTCGACGATAGCGCGACGTCTAAAACGAATTAAATTCGTCCAAGACGTTTTATCCGTCTTGGTAAGACGGATAAAATATCGATTTGGGAACAGAATTAAATTCGACCGTATTGATTTCGACGCCTAAAACCACGCCACGATTTATGTCGACGGAACGACGAATTTAATGGAATTAAATTCGTCTGACTTAAATTCGACTGTAGCGCGACGTGTAAAATTAGGTCTGACAATAAACATCAGAAATTTATCGAGGTATTTCCTTAAACTAGTAAAAGTTTTCACTAGAGCTGCCCCCGCTTTTAAAGATCTGTTTAACACCTGTATATGGTTTTTACTGGATATAAATACTGGGCATACGAATGTTAAAAAAGAAACGTTTGAATATTTATTGAAGTTAACATCCATGTAACTTGTTAGCATATTTCTCTGTAAATTCGACATTGAAATCTATTACAGTCATACAGTTTTGTTTTGTGAAACATCGACGTATTGTATGTATAATTACCTGCAATATATTATCCATAAATCAGTTGATATAAATGTAATTCAATTGTAAAGTTAATATTCTGTGTAACAAGAATGTATTGTACGTTAAAATTTTGAGTAATTGTAGGGAAAAATCATTATAATAACCATAACAACAACAATAACCACACTTGCAACAATGTACAAATCTCTAAAAATATAATCATCTGCAGTATATTTATCTATACATCAGGCAATAAAAAATATATTTCAATTGTAAAATTAATATTTGTGTAACAGGAACTTAATAAATTTGTGTGTTGACTTGTTGGGAAAAATCATTACTGACAATAACCATTGCAACAAGAATAATCAGCTGTAACCATGTACAATGTATTGGTATAAAATATAATTATCTGAAATCTATCTATTTAGGCCTAAAGAAGGAAATATAAAGTCACTACAACCATGCAATCTACTTCTACTTCTTTTTAACAATATTTTGTATTATAATAGCATATAAAGATGAAACAATTTTTAGTGTAATAGAAAAAATCCGAGCCCCAGATGATAATATAATAGCATAGTTATTTCTTTTGGAGAATTTTGACCTTGACACGCTGCTAGAAGATGGCAAAACGCGAACTCGTGGTTGAAATGCTGCTAAATGATGGCAAAATGCGAACTCGTGGTTACAAGACCTTAAAACACTGCTAGAAAGAACTCGAAATGCTGCTAGAGGACAACGAAACGCAAACTCTTTCTCGCACCGTCAAGCGCTGCTCGAAGACCTCGTGGTTGCAAAATGACAACTACAGCTACCCGAGATCACCTTGCGCGCTTGCTGAAATATTACCCGAGACCACCGTGCGCGCCTAGTTTGATCAAATTGAGATTTTTTTCGCATACTTGAAATTTACTTACAGTTCTTACTTTCTTACACTTTGAAATTCCTTGTATGTATACACGGGGGGACTTCTAGGGTGCCTCCTCGGGTTTTGGCCTCAGGGCCAAAACCCTGCGGGGGAAACAATTCTCAAGGCATTTCCTCCACAGAAATATCATGTTCATGATAACAATTAATTATAATAAGATAAATTAAACAAGTAAACCACATTGTGTTATACACGTGCACTGCTTTACGGTCTATATCCATTTCTTGAAAAACAAACGCAGAAATAAGTGGATATTCCAAAGGCTCGACACTATTTGATAAGGAAATTATTTAAGGCTACATTGAGATTATCCTGATGGGGATACTATACATTTATCACTTTGACAGGCTAAACTGCATAAGGCCAATACAATAATATATGTTCCTCATCGTCATCGATTTCAATTTGACAGCAGAAAGAACAGAATCCTCTAAGTGCTGGAGCCCTTTCTTTGGATTATCTTCCCTTTCCAAAGTAAGAAACGTACACGGGAATATAGGAGCCGGATCGATGCCATGAGCTAATAAACACAAATATCCTATCAACGCACTTCTCGCAGAGAGTTGAGAACGTAGCTCTCAGTACTTTTTGTGGTCTGTTTCTAAAATTGTAGACTGCTCAATGCAGTCTTGCCAAAGTCCCGCGCAAAGTGTTCTAAAGCACTCAGAGCGTCATGATCAATATGGAGAATGCGCTATAGAAATGTATCATCATGATGATCTTATGATCGTAATGATTTAGAAGGCCGTAGCCTCATACCTTTGAAGTAATTTAGTCAAATCACGTTCCATTAGGTGCATTTCATAAAAGGAAGCTTCAGCTTTCAATTCTCGAATCAGAGTTGCATCAGGTGGCACAGTAAACTTTTCATCACGGAGATAATTTAGAACATACCGGAAGTGCTTTCCATCTCGGTCAATAAAGAAAGTGCCATCGCTGGAGGCTTTTATACCCCTCTCCTTTGAAAACATTCGGTACAGCTTCCCGCTCCTGTATCGATCTCCTGTCAGCGTTTTACGAGTTGTTGTGAAGCGCTGACCACCGACATTTAGATTTATCATGCAAGTTACACGCTCCGACATAAGTTCGAGTTCATCCTGTAGCCCCTGAATCTGGAAATATTCAACATCCTCCTGCAGCTCTTCCAGAAATGTTGCTCCCTCTGGTACAGTTAATTTCCCAGTGCGAAGATAACTAAGTATATATCGGAAGTGAGTTCCATCTCGGTCGATAAAGAAAGAGCCGTCTTCAGCAGGTTTCATCTCAAATTTCGCCTTGAACATGGCTGCCAGCTTTGAGTTTGGATCTTTGGTCAGCGTTTGAAGACTTGATCTGAAGTAATCACCACCGACATTCAGTTTTACAGTCGTCAACCTCTGTGCCTTTACTGACACATTGAGAATTTCCTCAATCAGCCCTTGGATCTGATAAAACTCGGCTTCTTCCTTGAGTTCCTCAAGAGCTCTTGCTTCCTCCGGTAAAGTTAATTTCCCAGTGCGAAGATAATTGAGTATAAACCGGAAGTGGGTTCCGTCTCGGTCGATAAAGAAAGCACCGTCTTCAGCAGGTTTCATGTCAAACTTCCCTGAGAACATGGCGGCCAGCATTGAGTTTGAATCTTTGGTCAGCGTTTGAAGACTTGTTGTGAAATAGTGACCACCGACATTTAGTTTTACATTTTTCAACCTCTCTTCTTTTACGGACTCATTCAAGATATCCTCAACAAGCCCTTGGATCTGATAAAACTCGGCTTCTTCCTTGAGCTCCTCAAGAGCTCTTGCTCCCTCTGGTAGAGTTAATTTTCCAGTGCGAAGATAATTGAGTATAAAGCGAAAGTGGGTTCCATTTCGGTCGATAAAGAAAGCGCCGTCTTCACCGGGTTTCATCTTAAAATTGGGTGAAAACATGGCGGTCAGCTTTGAGTTGGAATCTTTGGTCAGTGTTTGAAGACTTGTAGTGAAGTAATGACCGCCGACATTAAGTCTCACAACGGAGGGAATGCTCTGAGCTTGTAGCATATTGAGTACTTTCACTTCTTGTTTCTCAGTCGTGATCGCAAAAAGATTTCAACAACGATTTCCATGTGCTAGAGTTATAGGAAGTGAAAACGTGGGGCTCTCACGACGTTTTAACACACCGCCTGTAAATCGACAAAATGATAGCTTTTACTGAGCCCGGAAGTTCGCCATTTACGTCAGTCATGATTTTATTTTGAAAGAACAGAACTGCTGTTTTCCATGGATTATTTTAACAACAATTGTCTCCGTATCAATAACAAAAGATTTCAGCATAAATCGGTTTCAAGGCAATTCAACAAAATTTGACAGAATGAGCTTTCTGAGTCTAACAGCCTCTACCGGAAGTCATAAGAAAGTTATTAAAAGACATATTTCGGTCAGAAAAAGACAAATTACTCATGCGTAATATCAAAGGTTGAGTTAAAAAGAAGAAGGTGTGAGTGTGTCAGAGATGAGGTTGGACGATTCCTTCAGGGCTCAAATTTAATTTTTGGATTACTAACCCTTCGGGTTAGTAGACATCTTTTTTACTAACCAAATTATAAAGTTTGGTATCCAAGCTCGCAAGTTACGATATCTCAAATATTGAACACTTTGATAATAATGACTGGGACAAATTAAAGAGTAACTGAAATGGCATGGTGACCTTAAAAACGTTGACAATTATGCACCTATTTTATTTTCCCAAAGTCGGGTTGGTATTGAACGAATTCGAAACGAGCACTGTGACCCTCTGTTTAAAACATTTCGATTATCTCAGCTCCTTGGCATGTTATAACAGGATTATTGAAGGTTATATCGGGAAAAATCTAAAGAAGCCCGCTAAGGTTTACAATTGCCATCTCTCTTTCAAAGGACCGGAAATGGAGTGCCCCAAGTCTGGAGGTCGAGTTTCGTGAGGTGAAAAGCATATTTTTTAAAAATTGTGACGCAGAGCTAAGCTATATTTTCTGGAATACCTTACACATTGCTTTTCATCAGTGTGAATGTCAACAACTTATTGCGAGTCGCATCGCGTTCATGATTTCTAACGTCACATTAATAGAGGCTTTAGCCAGCTCGGGTATGAACCGCTGTCTGGTTAGTGAATCCTAAATCAAGGCTCTCTCTGTCTGTCCAGGAGGGCAACAGCGGATGTTTGTGCCAACATAATATGACTAGTATTGGCCTGAGATGAAANGGGGAGGGAGGATGCATAAATCAGATCAACGCCACCGGTCTTGAGCTCTAAAGAATTGCTAAGCACGGTGGCCACAACTTATCGTCTGAGGAATGAATAGAGTCCACATGATGGAACAGAATGCTAAAGTCAATACTGAAATGAATTTCTACACCATTAACTCTCTCCTTCGTCGAGGTATATTCCAGCGAAGACTACTTTACATTTGCGAATGTGTATATGACATCCGCTGTCGAAGAAAAGAAAGCACCAGATTTTTTTCCTAATTAAAAAGAAGACTTAATTTACCGTCTTCGTGCAAATTGCACGCTGAAGACGCAAGGAAATGGGTCAGTTTTACTTGTTGACCACATAAACTACAGATTGTCCAGATTCAGGCCAAAATAGCTCGTATTTTGAATAAGTTATCTCGAGAACCTCACGAGATCAAAGCAGCCACTGAATCTTAGGCCATGCAAAGCTTGTGGTGACATCACATACCATGTGACTCACACATGTCGCTACCTTTAACCGTCCCAAGCGCGAGTTGCAAGTTTGCATTTGATCGACATCTTAGTCATCGTCAATTACAATGGGTTCTACTGCCTCGCTTTCCGGCGGGGGGGGCATGGCGTAAATAAGGGCGCGCAGATGCACGCTACATTTCACTTCTTTCCACGGTTTCCTCGCAACTTTTTTTTGGGAGTCCGCTGGCAAGACTCTGCGTGCTTTCCTAGGTAGGAGAAACATACAAAAACCATGAGCTTTTGATTCTAGACTACAAGCAATCCCCCCTTTTCGCTGAATCCATCGCGCGAGTCCAAAAAACTCAGTGAAAAAAGAAAAAACAATTGATGTTTGCGCGCCGTGCGTCTCACTCCCAGTGTTTCACGCGCCGCGCTTACATTTTTTTTTTCGCCGAAAAGAGAGGCACTGTTAGCAAACATCACCACAATAATAATAATAACAATAATAATAACATACGATAACTAATAACAATACATCTATAGAGGGTCTTTTCCCAGTGGTCCAAAAGCGCTTTCAATGCAACAAACATATCACGATGAAGACGAAACACAAAAGAATCCTACAATACACCTCTTACCGATAGGTTCTCGTCATAAAATTATCGGGTTACCTTGAACGTTTGTTTGAGCGGAACTGGAATTCCTCAGGCGGATCAATGAACTGCGGATTCAGGTGATGGTGACCTTTGGAGCTAACAGACTTGATTACCTGACTGGGCTTGCTATTTTCCACCGGCTTGGCATTCTCACCGACTACCACCCTGTTAGGCTCTGGTGTGGCCACTGAATTCGCTATGACACCGCCCTCGGGATTTCCCTTCACCGGAGCTGTAGGCTTTGGAAGGAGGTACGGCTTATTTGCAGCCCCTGGGGGAGCGTAGTTCGGCAAATTGTTCATGCCACGCTCTACATGAAGCTGTCCATTGATGTATGACGTCACTGAGTGCTGAGCATATGGCACAATCTTGGTAGATCCGGGACCCAAAGCCGGGCTTACGTCACAATATGCGGGGTACGACCGCTGTTTGGGCGGCTCTGCAGACGCATGCATCGTTTGTTCATGGTGTGTTAAGCTCGCTGTCGATAAGATCGAAACTACTCCTTTAGGATTTAAGTTTAAGGCACTAATTCGAACATCATAGTCACTAAAAGCTAACACACACATTTTACTTAAATCCTCCCTTTTGATTATGTCATGTTTCTTTACCCTACTATCGGTCTGGACGATTTAAAGCTTCCTTGTGTTAACTATTTCATTTCTCTTTGACTAATAATTCAAACTTTTTACATACCTAGGAAAATCTGACCCCAAATCATTTTCTTTTTAACGAAGAAAAGAAATTTATCCAAAAATCCACCGATTTGATAATACTTAAGACCAAAATTCCAAGACTTAAGAGAAATTCACCAAACAAGGAATCAGGGCTCGAATTTAATGGCAACCCGTTAACCAATGGTTAGTAATTTTCAACGTTTGGTTACACAAAAAATGTGTCCAACTAACCCGACATGGTTAGTAAAATTTTCTAACATATTTAAACATTGGTAGACCTCAGGACAAAGAGCACGTAGACCCTACTCTCAGAGGAATACTTAGAATACCCAAGTTGTTTAATCAATTTAAACTCTTTTTAGAGAATGTGCTGTACTGAGATGTACCGTTCTTGACTAATCGTGGTAAACGAGAGGGAAATAAAATAGGTGCATAATTGTCAACGTTTTTAAGGTCACCGTGCAATTTCAGTTACTCTTTAATTTGTCCCAGTCATTATTATCAAAATGTTCAATATTTGAGATATCGTAACTTGCGAGCTTAGACACCAAACTTTATAATTTGGTTAGTAAAAAAGATGTCTACTAACCCGAAGGGTTAGTAATCCAAAAATTAAATTTGAGCCCTGAAGGAATCGTCCAACCTCATCTTCTCTGACACACTCACACCTTCAGCTGACGCGTTATGCTGCATTAAAGAAGCATTTAACATTGGGCACCAGTGGCGGATCCAGACCCTTGAACAAAAGAGGGGGGGAGGAGGTGGGGTGTTGATGTGTACACTTGCCGGTTTTTCTTCCTTCTGCGATTTTTTTAACCAAAATAAGGGTGGGGGAGTGGGTCCTGGAGGGTCCCCCACTAGAAACCTCTTACCCTGATTATGAAGAATCTTTCCACAGTAGGTGCACTCACAGCCTTTCTTCCCCAACGGTGACGTTGCACTAAGTCGTTTAGCTGAGGGACCTGCAGACGGAAACACAAGCTGCACCTTGTCGAACATACTTTCACACTCTGCTTTCACTAAGCGTTGAGAGCGCTTTTGGTGCAATACCAAAAGCAAAGTAATGAGAGGGGCGGGATAGTTCAAAACATAACGAAGCCAGACTAAAGGCCGATAACGAATTCACGATTGCTTGGAGGTTTGCCTCTGACTGGTTACAAGGCCAGGGTGAGTTTTACACAAGGACACCAATCTCAAAGCGTACCACAGAGAGGCCAACAAATACACTCTCAACAGAATGTGGCTGCTAATTCTAAGCTGCTAGGCTCAGCCTGTTCCGAAAAGGCATCATGCACAGAAAAACATGTGTGATCAAGACACGACTGGTTCTAGTCTTGCAACCAATCGCTTTGGAGGGTGGCAAGATTTTTTTTGGATCAATTACGCGGTGACGTTGGGTACAGCCATTGCTTTAATAGTAGGACTTCAAATCACTACCTAGTCTTACCATCAATGCCATTCTGTTGCACGGAACAGCCATCGTGAGACCGCTTCCTGGCCATCATATGGTTGGTCGTCTGCTGGGAAGTTTGCTGACTCTGTACTACAGGTTTAGCTGACGGGATGGCTGCGTACTTCCAGTCACTCGCCTTGGGCGGGGTCGGCTGTATGGGTACATAGCTCTTAGACGGGGGGATCATTTTTCTTGACGGGGAGGTGATCGAGTGACCAGTAGAAGTAGGAGGGGATGGTGAAGTTGGTGAGTGTTCCTTGGGGAGGGGTAGTAGGGTTGGTTTGGACGGTTTTGGAGGTTTGTGTGGTTTTGGTGGGTTAGCTTTAATCTTGTCCACGACATCGTGCAATTTTCGTTCTACCCTCCGTTTCTTCGCTTTGATTATGGCCTCAGCTTTGGGCGTCTCTAGCCTCTTTAAACCTAGCAAAAACAAATTCACAGACAATTAAATCACAAAAGAGGGATACAAAAGTATTCCATGCTATCGGCTGAGAATAATCACAGGACAATAAATTTAATTTCCTATCAATTACAATATAAAAGCCGGAATCCGTTCTGATTTTCACCATGTTGTTTTCACAAGGTCTT